GAAACTTTTCTGCAAAGCTTTTGAATAGGTTCCCAATCAAACGCTTATAGATATTGTTTTTAGAATGATAAATGTTAATTTAAAAATGCCAAAAAAAACATATAACTGTTTAAATTTTTTTTTAACTAAAAAATAATTACTAACAAAAAAATAAATTGAACCTGGAATGAAAAACCTTCAACCTAAACCAGCTGGTTTAAGGCTTCTAATACTGCAATTCTAATACTAATACAGCTGGTTTAAGGCTTCTAATACTCATCTTTTGCAATATGCAAACTAAGTTGCTGTGGTACAAAAGACTTTAATATGGATTGCTGTGAAGTGCTGCCTTTGATGGCTGTGTGTATATATATATATATATATATATATATATATATATATATATATATATATATATATATATATATATATATATATATATATATATATATATATATATATATATATATATATAATTTTTGTTTGTTCTTTTTTTCTTTTTTTTTTCTAATTTTTCTTTTTATAACGTAATGAGGAGCTTCACATAAGTTTTTCTAGATAAGTGTTGTATAAGGTTGCTAATGCAAGCTTTTGAGGCACATGTAATTTCTTTACCGCATAACTTGTTACTATTACTTTTTTCGTGTACAAGACATTTGAAGCATACTACTTTTCATCCATTCAAAATTTTATTTGCTGCTCAAAATAATTTTGGTGGGAATTTTAGTCCAGATCTAATAAACGGGGGAAGTCTTAATAAAAGGGGGAGGGGAGAAATATTTATGTTACAATACAAATATTTTTTATAAAAAGTTTCAGTTTATAAATCCTAACTAATATTTTTTACAAAACACACATAAAACTATTTAGTTCTAGTGTGGTTTGCGATCAAATTTTCTAACAGCTGATTTATCATAATTTCAATAGGATTTCATATGCTGATATAAGTTTATACTTTAGTGAGAAATAAACCAAAATTTCATTTTCAGTATATGTATTTGATATATATATATATATATATATATATATATATATATATATATATATATATACATGTATAGATATATATATACATGTATAGATATATATATATATATATATATATATATATATATATATATATATATATATATATACATATATACATATATATAGATATATATATATATATATATATATATATATATATATATATATATATATATATATATATATATATATATATATATATATATATATATATATATATATATATATATATATATATATATATATATTTGCCTGAATGTTTGAATTTAATTGCCTGAATGATCTGTTAAATTTTTCTACCTGAACCATTCCAGACAGAGTTGTTCTGCTTGGTCAGCTCCCTTTAAAGAGGGACATTGAACAACACCTAAAAGATGGCCTTCCATGGTATCGTTATCTGGGGAACTCAACTTGCTCGTCATCTGGGGAACTTCAAGTTGCTTGATTTTCTAAATAATGTTAAGCCCAGTGGTAATTTGTTCCAACAGTTTGGTATCAAAATGAAGAATAAGCCGTTGGCCTTTAAGACCTTTAGTTATTGAAATCCACTCCAAGTCTCCTTCAAGTTCTACATATTTGAACTTTTTTCTATGAAGTGTGCTTCATGAAAGTGGTATATAATTAATTTCTATACCTCCAGTTTTAAATACTTCACTTAAAATTGCCAGATGAGGTTGTACACCAACATTGAACCTTATTGCTGGAATAGCAGTACATTCAATGAGCTTTTCAACATTTACTGCTAGATTTATCCTCTCTTCAGAATTGTACCTAGATATCATTTTATAATACATTTCTACCTATTTATAATTATATACTTTTCAATAAAACAGTTTTAGCTTGTGAAAATTACAACTATGTTATTAAAATAATACTATACCTGCGTTTCCGACCGTTACCCAGGAAATCTTCTTCCTCGCTGATTTCAGAGTCCTTGTTTGGCTTTTCTTCACTGCTGAGTTGAATCTCTTCTGTCATGGAGTCATGTGACAACAAAACATCATTGATATCTTTTACTTTCTGTCTCTCTAATTCTTTCTCTCTCAACTTATCTAGCTTGTTCTTTCTCCTGTTTGCATCCAGTACTCTCTTACTGTAGTCTTTGTCAACGTTTGTTCCTATATATCCTTTCCTATCCAACTTTTGGTATTCATAAAAACTAAGAAATAGTTAATTCTATTAAGACATTTATAAATAAATTAATTATTGTTCTAGTTTTTCCTGGAAGATGGCCAAACCATGGAAGGAAATAAACCTAAATATTTTAAAGGAAATAATATGCTATTACTTAAGTTACTTTAAATCGGAAAAAAAATCTCACTACTAAAAAATTGTTATTTAATGAACTTACTTTATATCTTCCAGCTAGGCATCATCTGTTCTCAATCTATCAGCAAGAATATCTTTTTTAAAATTCTTAGTTTAGATGTCAAAAAGCTGATAGGATTCTGTGAGAAAATCTTTCTTTAATTTTGATTGCTTATCAAGGCTG